ATGTTCCTGTGTTCCCTTAAAAGGATGATACATTATTTTCCACATCTCTCTACAAAGGTAGTCTCTAGTTGGACCAGAACGTTGTGAGTACAAGGCTAGACTGGCCAAGTGAAAGCAAGCCTCCATCCTGCTATATGCAGGCAGCAGACGCAGATGGTCCTTCCAGGTGTTAAGCCAGGTAATTCTTGTGGTGAGCAAAGGAGGGAGGCAGGAGGGACCCTCCAGCCCAGATTGTGCCACTCTGGCTCAGGCTGAGCTGCATTCAAAGGTCTGGTTCACCCAGTGGTGTGGTGGTGGCTGTTTGCAGGGCCACATGCATGCAGGTAAACCTCTTCGCTTCATGTGAATGACCCACGGGGCAGATGGTGGCGTGGCACCTCTTCACACACTTTATCTTGCTTCCTGCATGGGGCTACATTCAGATCCTGGTGGAGCAAGTCTCCTGGCCTGTGTAGTGACTGCCACGCCACAGGAACACAAAACCTGTTGTCTGTGTGGTGCTCCTGTGGAAAGGGCTCTGTTAACACACCACTGAACTTAATGTGGAGGCACTGCAGGGCCTGGGAGGAGGGAATTCTTTTATTTTCCATGAGTATCTGTACCTGGGCCATTAACTCTCACATCTAAGGACTATGGATAGAAATTTCTCTCATTTCTTCAGCACTACAAATTAATTGCATGTTCAGCACAAAAGCAAGGCAGGGGGATAAATTTGAGCAAGCCCAGTTTAGCATTTACCAGCATCACCCCAGCTTCTTTGTCCTGTTTCTTCTTGCTGGGGCCTTAAATTTCTATGCCTGCATGCTGACTCCTCTCTTGTCTTCTTCTGTTTACTTCCCTCTGTACTCCCATTGCTGACACGTCCCATGCCACCATTCTCATCTGCTTCTTCTCACAGCTTCTCATCCTCTCATTTCCTCACCCCTTCCCTGTTTCTCCCAGTATCCCTTCTCACTTTAAAACACAACTGGCTGTTCCAAAATACTAGCAATTGGATTTCAGAGAAATTGAACACTGCCGAAACCAAGTCAGTTTTTGAGCTGCTCTTCTGCTTGGAATATTAGAACCAGGTAGGGATAATGCTGCTAAAGAGCCTTCTGCCACAGTGCAGGGGGCTGTGAAACGAGCCCCTGGGCATTAAGCTGGACTGCATTTGCAGGGTGCCCAAGGACAAGACCCCGGAGGGTGCAGGCCTGGTGCCCCTGCCTGGAGCTAAGCACGGCTCCAATGTGAACAGTGCCATCTTTTGGATAAGGTGGAAAACTGTACTAACCTCCCGCTGCCACCGAAAACCTCTCCACTCAACCCTCCCAGAGAAAAAGGCTCTTTTTTTTCCCTTGCTCTCACAAAGATCGCTGCCTCAATTGCCCCTCAAGTTTTTATCGGGAAAAGTTATTCTTCCCTTCAAACTCAGAAGTGCGCAGTGGTGTGTCTGCACGGCATCCAGCAGTGCTGCCTCGCTCAAGTCAACTGCATTTCAGTGTTATAGTGCACAGAAAAACACTTTGAAGGAGATCCTTCCACAGGAACTGGGGTGCCTGATGAACGCCGCTGCGGCTTGTGAACAAACCTCCCCATGACTGAAAGTCTGACTGAATGCAGAAGCAGCAGCACGGCTGCAAAGGGGGCAGCAGTTCCAGGGTTTGTCTGTGCTGCAAAGTGCTTTAAGGCTGAATAAAGGGAAAAGGCTATAAACCAGAAATGCCCTAAATGTAATCTTATACTGATCCACGTAATACACAAGTGACACTATCGTAGAAATGAATACTGCATCTGCACTGGAACTGGGCTTTTAAAATCCAGTGAAACATCCCGATTCCTGGAGGGGCCTTAGCTGAGAATACGCTCATTCTCAGTAGTCATGCTGATGCTTTTTGAGTCTGAGCCAAGATTCTGTAAATCTAAGTCAGCTCTGTCTCCTGTGCCTAATAATATGAAGCAAGAAATAGCCCAGCCTTATAAAAACTGTGGGTTTTGGCCTCAGCCCATATTGATTATATAGCTCATAAATGAAGCCCAAAATTCTGGTTCTTGTCCAAACAACAATCATCTTGGAGCTCCATGCCTACAAATCAGACTGGCAGATATTAGCTGTTCTGAGTTTGTTCAGGCTCACACTTCTCAATTTAAGCTGAGCTTCCTTTTGTTTATGCACAGTTTCTTGAGCAAAGTCTTTTTTCCAGTTGCATGCTCTTCACAGAACCACAGTACTCACTGACTTCCACAGATATTCTCTGGTCAAATCCTTACTGCTATGGAATTAATGGCAAAATGTTGCTGATTTTATTGTAATCAATATTTCCCCACTTGGAAACTAGTCTCCTAGGTAGCTGCTAGAACACAGTATTACAGGAAATCAGAATTAACTAAGCAAAGTGATTAAGATGTTCTGCTATCCACCTAAGTAACCCCATAAATGAGATGAACGGAGACATCTGAGCTACTTCTATCAGTTCAGCCAGGAAAAAGGGCAACTCTAACTAGCTCTGGTCACTCCTGCATACCAGCCTCTATCATCAACCTGCAGCAAGTATCGTTTCAGCCCATGACTGCTATTACTGATAAAGGTGGCAGAACATCATAGACCAGAGTGCTGTTGCCCTCGGTAGAAGCCTTGGACAGCTTCCCCATCTTTGCACTGCTGACAATTACAGCCACCAACTATCTGTAATGACTGCACCCAGCTGAGATTTTTCATCTCCTACTTGGCCACTGTCACACCTGGAGCCCATTTATGCCACTGAAATACCAGTTGTAGGCTTAAATGCTGTATATAAAGGCTATCTTGAAATGCTGCTTCTAGTTATGCCAAATTAAGCACATGCTTTTGAAGAGGTAATATAGACCCACAGCAAGCTTTACTTTGCTGGGTATTGATGTGAGAATTTTGGCCCCATAGGTAAGTCTGTACTTGTGAAGTCTGCTTGATACTGAGGCCCCTCTCAGAACAGTTGTAGCAGAAGGACAACCCTGTTTTTGGAGGGCTGGTTCACCTTCTTATCCTTCTTTCACTGCCACATGGAACTCAAGCTCTTCAGAGATGAGGGGGGAAATGCTTTCTCTCAGCATGGTACCATGGACAGAAAGCTCTTGACTATGGGTGACTTTCCATGCAGCTTGAGAGCCCTTGGACAGGCAGATGGCCACTGCCCAGGCTGAATTCATTTCCTCAGGACTGAACACCAGAAGAGACAAAGCGATCACCAAATGGGGAATGTGGATCAGTAGGTACAGGGTACTAGTGCTTGTGAAAGGAAGAGTCTCTACTGCAGGGCAGGCTTGGCCAGCTGGGCAGAGTAATTATCCCAGGGCACTGAGGTCTTCTGCCCTATCTGGGCAACTGAGACCTCAAGAAAAGCCCTGAGAGACAGAGTACACTAAGCTCTCTAGTGGACTTTAAGTGAAGCCTTCAAAATGGTGGGGAGATGCCTGTGCTACTATATATGCACTATTATTCTCTCTAAACTGTTTTCTTTGTGTGCTGGCTGAAACACCCTTTGAGCCCTTGGAAAAATGGATGCATTTCTCCAGTTTCACAGGTCCCTTCAGAGGCAGGTTGTATGCCGGAATACTCTCAGAGATGATGGTCTGAAGCCACATCATGTGAGTAAGTAGGGGAGAAAACCAGTCCAGCAAAAGGAACTTTACTAGGTGTCCATGACAGATGTATTGAAATATTCAAGCTTAAACTAATACAAACTTTCCATGTCAGACATTATGTGTTTCACTTCATATGGACTAAAGTGTTTTGGATGGTGTCTTTTTAACGTGCTGCTGAAGTTTGCACATGCAGATATGTATTTTGGGCTGCTAAAATAATTCTGTGTAAGGGGGAAACTATGAGCAGCTGAGGGAGGAAGTAACACTTCTGAAAAATAGAATCTGCTTCAGAAACTGGTGCATGCTTTGAAAAGACAAAAGTTTTATCACTGAGGATTTCTGGCTTTCGACTACGTGCCAATCTGAATCCAGTTTTGCAATTTCCACTTGGCCATATCAGCTCTTACTGTCAGTGGAATTTTTGTCTGAGTGGAAACAGGAGCATCAGGCCCTTTGACAGCAGAGTCGTTCCTCCCCCAGAGAGAGTCTGAATGGTAAGGTAGCACAGGGATATTTTCCTAGGAACGTGACATTGCAAATGTCCACATCTATTTAGCAAACCATCTCACCCTGGCGATGCACCCCATGCATTTTTGGCCCTGTCTTTTCAAGACTCCTATTTAACTTCATGGTTACAAGTAGTCCCCGTGAAACAAAGCTTGGTGTGTTTTTGCACATTTTGCAGGACAAGGGTCAGTATTTTCATAGCCCCAAGCCCAACTAATGGGTTTTTGCTCTGTAAGCCACTGCGCTCTCAAGCTAAATGCTATCAATTCAGCCGATGGAGTTAACAGCAAAAAATGTAGAAGGAAACAGAGCTGGCGAAATAGCTTGTGATTATTATCTGAGGGCTGGGTGGAGTACCTATTGGAGAGGCAGCAGCTGGGAGCCAGCATATCCAGAATAGAGAAGCTGACATTACAGAACTTCTTTCCCAGCTAAATGCTTTGGTTTTCTCTGAACTTCCTAACTTCCTGGGGGGCTGGTGGCAGCTACGTGACCTGCAAACCCTGGGGAGACCAGTCCCAGCTTTTAGATCAAGGGACTCAAGTGAGAGAGAAAAACAAATGCTTTTTTTGAGGAATGAACTTTGAATTATTCATCTGCGTGTTACTGAAATCTGTTTTGTTCCTCACTGGAACTACAAGGAACTCTAATTACAAGTATTTAAGACACACATAAATTACCTTGCCAGCCATGATGAATGCTGCCTGTAAAGCCTAGAAGTATTATTCCTGCAACTGCAGCCAAGAAATGTTAATAGACCACCTGTTGAGTGAGATGCAAAATGATCACTAGCATGTTATGAATAATCGGAATTGTAGTGAAAGTAGGCAATACTTCTGTACTGCCCTGGATATCTCTAGACATCCTCTGCCCTTTCACTACGCATCTAATGCCAGTTCTTTAGGAGTGCAGCTGAGCTCATTTTTACCTAGATGACTAGGGAACTAGCTAGGTACTGGGAGGACAATGAGGCTTTGGGTGGCTGTCCAAAGCTCTGCTGTTCAAATGCCATGAGAGCACCGTACCTGGCTTCCCATGGCTTCCCACCCCTTGTCTCTTTCTTGCCGGCCTTGAGAAGGCATTTTGTGACATCCCCACCCATACACGGTGGTTGTGCTGGGGACAAAATGACAATGTAGAACATAAGCACTGACATGCCGCGACTCCACAGGCAGTGGTGATGTTGATAGAGGCAGACTTCTGTAAATACATGACAGACTTCAAATGCCAGGTTGCTTCTTGAGCCCTAAATAAACCTTGTTAGACTGGTGCTTTTGTTTTCCTGCAGCTGCAAATTTAACTCTTTGCAAAGACATCCTGTGATCTTTCACTTAGTTCAAAGCTGTGGTAGCTGTGTGTTTGCATCTCAGACACGCTGTCTTCCAAAAGGCTCAAAACGGCATAAAGCAAAGGTACATGGTGGCTGCAGAAAAAGCAATGGGATACGAAAAGGTATCTTGCTCGAGTTGCAAGCGGATGCAAAATGATAGTGCTGTGTTGCATTCGGGTGCTCTCTGGCAACGAGCAGCTGGGGGCAGTAAACACCGCTTAGATGAGCCGGAGCCACAGGTCCTACCTTTACAAGTGGCTGTCTCGGGGAGGAACAGCCCATGGAAATTCATGCCAGGGGCATACAAGGTCTGTGTAATTCTCCAGGCCGCAAACTAGATTTAGGCAGGGTAAGAGTGGAGCCTAGCCTTCGTGTGAGATATAGAAAAGGACAGGACCTGCTTAACCTATATACAGTGCCAAGGAATGAATGGCTACCTGCTAGTCCCTCGGTATGTGGCCTCCAGTGCAGATCCCCCAGCGGTGTAAGGTGTGTTACTCAACCACTGTTTGGAGTGGGACCACAGGGACACGGGCAGAGGCGTCCCTCCACCGGCAGCGAGCGTCAGCCTGCTGGAATTTGCAGTTTTACATTGCAATGCATCAAGCTAAACTTCACAATAGTTTCTGAGGGCTTTTTCTGGGGCAGACTGTGCTTCCTCTGCAGTTTTGGAAAGGGCCACGGGGACTCTGACAGTGCTAAGCAGACGGGGGCACTGCTTGAAAGCCCTTTTCTGCTCTGCATTAGCACTTCAGTAGGGAAGGGCTGCAGGAGAGGTTTACCCACTGCAGCAACTCAGGCCCTCTAACTTGCTTTCAGAAGCGACTTCACACACCAGCTTGGTGCAACAAGGACTTTCAAAGGGTGCAGTTACGGTCTGTGGAAGCATCTGCACCAAGCATTTGCCAAAGCAGAGGTCAGGGCTGCTCTGCTTTCTGCAGATTGAGTGACAGCCCCTGAGATCACCTCAGGATGGCACCAGACATGATGGGGCATGTGGTACCATTATGCCTTCCCTGGCAAAATAGTTCAAGAAATCATTCATGTTGGCAGTATCTGTAGTAGCGAGCACATCAGCCAGGGCCTGCTCTCAGGCCCTCAGGTCAAACAAGCGTATGCAGATCCCATCTCATGTCCTCGGGGCTGACCTAGGTTTTTTTCCCCAGGACAGGGTGAGCTCACCAGTTCCACGGTCAGGACCAGCCCCGGGGCTGCCAACTGGGAGAGCCCCGGGTGTCACAGGCCAAAACTGTGGCAGGGAACATGCTAACATAAAAAGCATGGAGGGCTGCATGTTGCTGCTTGAGGTCGTGCCCTGACCCTCTTCAGTTTACTGCTGTAGAGATCATCACTGGAAATAAGAGGAGCTGGCTGAAGTGATGCTCTGCTCATTTGAAAATGAGACAGAAGCTTAAATTCTTTTCCCTTCCCCCAGCAAACTGCCTGCCAGCCTATGCAGGCTGGCTGGGGAGAGCTTTCCTGTGCTACATGGCTGTGCTGTCTCACCTCTGCCCTGGCCATCTCTGCCTCTCCTCCCTAATCGCTCCCCGAACAGATGGGAAACACGACAGGGGCATTGTGCACAGCAAGGCTCATCTCCCAAAGCCCAGGAAAGATGGCAGTTTTACAGTTCCGTGCTATTTACAGAGGAGCTTGCCATGGCCTCCCTGCTGCACCAGGGTTGTGTTGTGTGATGTGGCTGTTGAGCTGCATCTCTATGTAACCTGCAGGCTGAGTGGGCAGCCAGAGTTCAGAGCCTGGCCAAGCTGCTTGCCTGGGATGACAAAGGTGTGAGTCAGTTACAAGCTTGGTGAAACCTACTTATTTATAAAGACTGTATACAAAGATTTTTTTCCCTCCTTGGCTACGGCAGACACTTCCAGCAGGAAGAAGCTTCTTTGCTCGGAACTCACAGCAAGGTCCCCCAGCTCTCACAAGGCCTCACTTCTCTTTCTTTCTAGGATCCAGTAAGACAGTTTGCAATCCATGGAGTTAGCAGTGAACTGCACATGCTTGTCTGCACTTTGCAATTTGCAGTATATGCCTGAGGCAGAGCAACAGCTGCAAGGGTCGGACTGTGGGCAAAATCATATCGTAGTTACCTATGGCATGATCAAGGGAGAATCAAAACCCTCTCAAGTCTAAAAACCTAAAAAAAAACCTCACCCTTTCAGTTTCCACCTAACTCTAGAGGTATGAACACTCACTCTTGACCCTAGTTTTTCCTATGTAAGTGCTGCATCTGTATAATCTGCGTAGTCCAGTAGACCAAGTCTCTCCCCTGCTGTGTGCCAGGTATCGAAATGACATAACAGGGTAGGGTTGCAGACATGCCACGGCCACATTCATTTGCCTAAATGTAGTCACGTAGTGCTATTTTAAGCACATTCGTCTACCCTGCCCAGCCTCTAACTGGCTGCTTTATACATCCTACAATACCCAAAACACCGGTACAGGCCTGGCACGTCTGACATGCAACCCATCAGAGTCCCACGCCCTTCTGGACTTGCAAGGAAGGACTGAGCAGGATACACACATATGCCTAAAATAGTACTAAACATCTCTGCTTCAGTAGCTAGATCCTTACCACCACCAGCTTCAGCATTTCCCTGGCTGGTCTGCACAGTCCTGCTGGTCCAGCTGCTACTGGGGCTAATTTTCCATGTCAGTGCAATTTTAATTTGCCAAAGTTGCACCTGGTTAAGACTGATTATTTATTGTTTCAGCAATAGCAGGACATGATGAAATGTTCAAAGCCATATATAATGAAGTTCAGGATAACCTGGCACTCACAAGAGCATTAAGCAGTATAGAAATGCCAAAAGCAATATAGGATTGATAGTACATGGCTGGCTGCACCTTGCGACTACTTACAGATCATGGACCTGAATCCTTATGGTGCTGCATCTTGTGTGGTCATTCATTATAGCATAAAATGGGTATAAGCGTTAGCAGTCAGCCTTGGAAGTACTTTATAGCCACTTTGCACTGGAATGAATGACTGTAAAAGCATGCTAACGTTTGGTTCTTTAAATCTACTACTGCAGCAAGATCTTCCTACCTTAACGTTTGCATTTTCTCACGATCAGGTTCCAAATAAATTTGCTTTTTGGAGGAAAACTGTCTATCTCTGGATATGCCTGTACAAACGGGTAAAGTGATAAACTTGCCTTGATGATTACACCATGTAAGTAGGCTTTGATCACAACGTGCCTATCATGAAAAAAGTATTTCATTACGGAAACCAACTGTTGTTGGTTGGGGTAAAAAGAGCAATTGTTGGGGTTGGGGTAGAAAGAGCAATTAGACCTATGGTCCAGGTAGGTTACAGCCAGTGACACAGGGCAGCTCAATGGGTACCATGGTGCTCTTCCTATGGTAGGGCTGCTCCAAAAGGCTTTGACTTTTGAAACTTTGACATCATCAGGAAACAAAGGGAAAACAGGACAGGTATGCAAGTGTGGCTCCCCATTTTTTAACATGCTCTGTTAAGACTGACTTGTACTGCTGGGATAGAGGGTCTGCATTCAACATACGAAAACTCATTAGCAGTTACATAAAGTGAGTTTGAGCACTGGGATCCAGAGATTCAAATCCACCTCCAGACACAACACTGCCACCATTACACGTCAGACACCTTGGAAGTCAAGAAGACTTGAGGGCCCACTGGGAAACTGGCCAGCCTGCCCCAGGCCTTTGTGGAGCAGCAGGAGGGGAAGGTCCATGCACAGAGAGGGCTTCGTGCATCTGGCAGCTGTACAGGCACCTACCCAGTCCTTAGCTCCGTCAGTATGTCTGCTGGTGTTGTGATTTTGCAATCAGCCAGACAGGCAGGGCGAGAGGTTATGGGGGCTATGGCAAGGAGCCCTGCAGAGGCCAGCCTCATTCCTTGGGGATGCAAATACAGAATACTGAAAGGAACATTAAAGGTCTGAACTCTTCTCCCTGCCCACTAAAATGGTGAAACTGGAAGAGGAGAAGGAGTACAAACTGCAGATTTTAACTGTTATCTTCTAATACAAGAACCGAGCTGTATACTGGGTTGTTGTCATGGTTTAACCCCCCATTATGTCCTTTTTTCTGGATGCAAATTAACAGAGTGGTGCAATGTTAACGTGACAACTGAAACCTGTGGCCTGCGGTTCTCAGCTTTTCTCATTTCCTTTTTCTTTTTACTCTGCATTTCCTTCTCTCACCCTCAGTCATACAAGCACTTTGACAGTCTGTCAGGCTCAGACAAGCCACTTGGGCTGCAGCAAAGACAGTGCTTCCAGGTTATGACAGCGGCAACCGCTTGGCTGCTATACAATATCACATCAAGCAGTGTGCTGAAACCCGCCCTGACCACCCTCTCCAGCTCCCTCTTTGTGCCACACACCCCTCCCTTATCTCGACAGTGCCTGCATGGGATCTGCGCAGCAGCACCTTTGCTTTGGAGGAAAACTCCAAGCCAGAGCCCAGCGATGCCTCTAAATGTGTCCCTGGAGAAGGGTTACAGGAAATCTGGTAGGGCATATTTTCAGACTCAGTAAGACAAAACACTGAACAAGGGCAGTTTTTATGCTCTTCTCACTTTTTCTGATCTGAAAGTGAAATATATTACTGTTGTTGGTAATGATAATAAAAGTAGGTCCTAATGCAGCATCCCCTATGCAAATCAAGCCTACATTTGTCATGTAAGTAGGACTCCTCTGCCCTGATTGATGCTGGGTGTGTGATTAAATCTTCTTCCAGCTTGAAATCTGTTTTCTGAGAGCCACTTCACTCAAAAGAGTGAAGAACAGCAAAAGAAAGAGGGACAGAGGAGTAGCAGCCGCTCTTCCCAGGTTCATTTACAGCAAAGCTCTTCTTGTGAATGGCAAAGAGTCTTCATATTGAAGACCAAATAGCAAGGGAGCTCTGGATGTGTTTAAATAAAGCTAAGTTTAATTAGAGCTGTTCAAAAATTAAATGCAGAAAGAGAGTGTATTTATGTTTGCACTCAAAAATATATTAGATCCTCAGGCAGATCTAGGTCAGCACAGCTCGTCAAATTACTGGGAAGCACAGCGTGTGGGAAAGTATTCGGTTTTCAGCGTGAGCGGTTTAACTCCTACAAGTGCTGCAATACCCACACCCCCAACACTGGCCTTTGGTATGGCAGCATAGCCAGTGCCAAGAATCCAGGAATCTTGAATTATCATTCATACAGCAGATTCCGGCTTGTTTTGCATTTTGGTTTGGCGCCTCTCTCCTTCCTTGTCCCATTTATAGCTACCACAATGCATCTTCCTGCATAGGCACAAGATCCAAAAACATTTTCCTTTATTTAAAGATTAGATTCTGTTATAAATCTGATTCAGAGTGTCGTAGGTCTAGGAAAAACACCTACTATCTGAGCCTTGAGATAAATCCCCATATATTGGCAATTCCACGTTGCATTGCTAAGGTGTTGCATACTAAAAAGGAAAAAAGAAAGAAAAAGGTATTTTGTTTCCTAAGAAATACTCAGGCTTCTGATCAAGCCTCCTGCCTTTCAAGAGCCAGGCTGCAGGTCTAGAGTCTGCTTAGGGAAACCAAGATGCTTACCCCTGGATCACTATTTATGTGGGTTGCCTTGGTTCAGTGAGGCTGGGACCAGCTGTGGCAGATGTTGCCCGAGTCTGCAGCACGGTGACAATTAGGATGTGCCACAGATCACAGGACTGGGTAATGCCAAGTATCTTCTACGGATGGGCTTTGAGATCAGCTGAGCCTGAGGTAAGGCCACATAGCTATGGTGAGGCACAGGAGATCCATCCTGTGGGCCCGAAAGGATCCTCCTCAGATGGCGAAAGAGGGACGGTCTTTGCTCTGCTGAGGAATCAGGGCAACACTGTAGATTCCGGGAGTTGTCAAAATTCCAGATTTCCACACCAAGGAATCGCAACATTTTCTATTTTATTTCATAGTGAATCAGCAGGAAGTCAACAGCAGTCTGCATTAATTTGGTCCCCTTTGAAATAAAACACTTAACTTACAGAAATGCTATCAAACCTAAAGGAGCTATCTGAATAGCCTCTTAGGCTATAAAGCAGCAAAATTTTGCTCCCACAAAGCATCTTGGGTTTTTTTGCCTGGCAACTATTCCAAAGCAGAACCGTGCTCTCAGGAATTATTGGGCACATCCACTCAATATGTACCACTTGATTCCACAGAGCGCAGTGCTGCAGGAAGTGGGTGCTCAAGGCATCCTGCATTTCTGCTCCAGGCTCCCATCTCCCACTTGGCCACTGCTCCAGCCTCAAGCATGCTGCAGCTCCTGGCTCCCTTCAGCCTCCCCATCCACCTCCCAGTGCCTGACCACGGTTTGCCATCTCATCTATTGACCTTCGTATGACACATTGCTGACATCTACACTTTCAAGGCTCGTATTTGCCTTTCCCAACCCACCTGATTCTAGAAATACACCAGCAGGAGCACGAAATGTGCTGCTTTTGGCCAAGACCTGATCCCCCTACAAGGCATGAGGGATGGCTTCAGGCCTCCTATTGCACCCAAGTTGAAGACCCTTGAGCGAGCCAGTGTTTTGAGTGCCTCGGACTCCCAATACAATGCAGTGCAATGCAGAACAAAGGACCGCACCGAACGGCAACACAGCCTGCAGGGGCCCTTCCTACGGCGAGAGGAAGAGTCCGGTTCCGGGTGTCGTGTGTCGTCCCCCCCCACTACCGCCGCCAGCACCTCAGCCGGGGGCACCACCGCATCAGCGACAAATGGGTCACAGCCCGCTTGCACAACCCGCCCCGCCCCCACGTGACCAGAAGGCCCCGCCCTGCGGCGTGCAGCTCAGCCAATGGGGAGGCGCGCCCCGCCGTCGTATTTATAGACGCTATATAAAGAGCCCCTGGGAGTCTCCGTGCGGTGCTGGGCGGTGGTGGGGAGGGAGGGCACGTGCGCCCGGTTGAGGGGGGGGAAGGGGAGCCAAACGCGCCGCCTCAGCCTAAGGGCGGGCGGTGCGGCAGCGGCAGGGCCCCGCCGATGGGGTGCTGACGCGCGGGTGCCCGCTCGCCTTGCGGCGGGAAGGGCCCCTCGTTTTCACTGTGGTGAGGGTGGAGAGGTGTCCTCTTAATATGTGCGGACCCGCGGTTACAATTTCAGGGCTCCCTACAGGGGAGCTTCAGTCAGAAGCGATCCGGTTGGCCAGGCGGAGGTGGTTTCGCTTTACACATCAGCCTCTTTGGGCAAGAACTTGGAAGTGTGGAAATGCTTTTTGCTGCTCCCTGCTCTACCCCTTTTAATAAACAAAGTGTCTTCATCGGAGTTTTCGTGCAGTGGGGCTGCAGCGAGACATCGCGCTGTAGGGCTGGCCGAGAGCTCCAGCATCTGCCTGTCCGGGCTGTGAGGCGTTTGCAGAGCGGCGGTGTCTGTAACCCTCCTGCACCAAGTGACTAAGGTGAGCGAGCGGCTGTGGTGATGGAGCCCCATCCTGCTCGTACACAAGTCTGCTCTGAGGAGCTGGGACCTGAGGAGTTTTCTGACAGAACTTAGATACGAGAACAGCAGCTGTGTGACTTTTGTCTCCATCAGTAATGCTTGGGGCTTTTGTTCCCCTCTTAGGCAACATTTGATACACAGCTTGCAGTCCTACTGATCAATAGTATTTCCCCCTTCACTTGGAGACTTGTTTCTCTGTGTATGTGTATTCATATAAATCCTCTCATCCAGCTGATACCCACGCGCATCTCTCCTTCCCGTAGTACTGTTGAGCACTGACTGTAATAAGAATTGCAAATGTCCTTAGTGCTGTTTAAAGAAAACCTCCAAGACATACTGTCAGCGAGTCAGCTTGTTCTCTCTGCTAATGCATAATAGAGAACAGAACAGGTATGGGAACTGCTCTGGCTCTTTCTGTTTGTCCCACCAGGGGCAGACTGATAGGTTTCCCTCTGGCTTTTATTAGGATCTGCCTCAAACCAGGAAAAGAAAGAAAACAAACCCAAAAGCTTAAGAAGATCCCAGAGCCTACCTCTGTGTTGCGAGGTGACTGACCTCGCAGGCTTTGAATAGACTCAAATACCTGCTGCTAGCTTCTAGCAAGCATTTTATGGAGATGGTGCTGTACATGCACAATTGGCTTGACCCCTGTTTTATTAGAGCATGGTAGTAATTTCCAGAATAAAATCCAAATGGACCTGGGAAAGAGAGAGACATAGTGAGTAAAGCAGTCAAAAGGACAACAGATTACTTACTCCTGTGGTGCATTTGAAACTATAGATAATGCTCATTCAATCAGTGCAGAAGCTTACTAGAATAGTAATTTTAATAAAAGTTGGGTCAGGCCCTTGAAGAACCTGTGCGCTAAAATATTGTAGTGGGTGAGTGCATTTTACAAGGGCTTCCTGAAATGCTTAAGCTGCCTCAGTGGGAGAGAAGAAGAAACGTATTTCACAGATGGAATGTGCTTCAAGTGAGCTGGTTTGGTTTGGTTGGGGTTTCTTCCTTCTTTTTTTTCTAACTCACTTTTGTTGGCATCCTCTTCAGAAATGACTGCTATGTTTGCATTGTTTGAAAGTTGTAGGGTTTAATACCCTCTGCAGTCTGATCAAGTGAATATAGGGAAATTCACATAGCAAATGGCTTGTGAAGTTGACCTGGCCAGTAATTCTGCACCTTTTTCATGCTCTGAGTTATATTTCATAATAAATGAAAGCACAAAATAACCAGATCTAAAAAAAGTGGAGTTAAACTGGTTGTGAAGCGTCACTGGCAAACAATATCTGCAGTCATGTTGGTCAGTAATATTAAGGATACCCCTTTACCTAGTATCTACAAGAAAATGAACTCCTTTGAAATTTAAAATGACCAAATACCAGCGGGGAGGGGAGAAAGGAAGGAGGCTTTTTCTACACTCCAGTTTCAATGTGATGGAGCTGGGCAGTAAGACACTGACATGCACGACTCCCCCGTGGCTGCTGAGCAGAAGGCTTTTGTTCTGTAGGGCAAGATCAGGTGGCGAGGCAGGGCCTGTGCTGGCAAAGAAGAGGGAAGTAAGCTCCATCTGTGATAGTACAGCCTGTGAGTGTAACTGGCTTTCTGAAAGGCTTGCGCTGAAATTTAATGGCCCCTGGTGTGTTCTGGCAGGAACTCATACTGGTGAGCCAGCTGAATCAGGGAGTGATGCTGAAATCCCTCTCCTCAGCACTCACCTATGTGCGTTTGCCTACCTGCTGTTCTACTAAAAACTCATTTTAGTTCTCATCTCTGATACAGCTGTGGATTGTTTTGTTGGGTTTTTTTTTCAAATCACTACCCCTGAAAATTGAATAGCCTAGTGAATACCTGGGGCTGTCATGATGGAGCTGCAGGCATGCAGCTCCACTGGTATCAAGTCCCTGATAGCTTTGGGAACAGCACACATAGGCTTAACATAATTGTGTCCACACTGAGACTCTGGCCAATAAAGGTTTTTACTAACAGATCCTGAATACTAATCAATGTAGCTATACCTATATCTAGGTGTATATATAAATATATAACTGTGTATATATATGAAGGGAAAAATCTGGTTGTGCTTCTCTGCAAATGTTTCATAAAGATGTAAGTTTGGGGTTCTCTAAATGTGGAAGTTGTCTGGTTTGAATTGCATTAGTATAATTAAAACACTACAGGGCCTGTGACAGGGATAGTGTTACACTGGTGTTTCTTATTAATATTTATTGTCTTAGATCATTACACTGGTGTTTCCTATTAATATTTATTCTCTTACATCAAAACAGAATAAATGCAACTCTTTGGAGTTTGTAGCTGTGTGGTGAGGACTGTGCAGTTCCAATGGCTTATTGGCACCAGAAGGGAGGTGACCAGCTCCTGCGCTTCCAGGTAAATCACAAGGGTAATACTGGTCTGTCCCACATAGTCACTGTCTCTGTTGCTTATCTGTCTGCAGGTAGAGCTGGCTGAATTCACTAAAGCAGCAGTAGACTACAAGTACTGAGGCTAGTCACAGAAAAAATCACTGGTTCTTTGCTAGACTAAGAATTATTTCCCACGTGTTCTGATGAACAATAGAAGCAGTGCAAGAGGCCAGACAGGGCAGCAAGGACATGGGAAAGGGAATGCACTTTTGGTTTGGAGGCCACAAGCCACTGGCTAGGTGCAGGATGAAGGTGGACAGTGTATCTGAGACTTTTGTACCGGAATTGCCACATTTGCTTTTCCAATATAGTTATTTCAGTGAGGCTGTAGGAAGATGTAGTTTTTCACATACAGCTTTTCGGCTGTTTGTAGATGTCTTCTGGGTGAAGACTGCTGTTCCCATCGAGCTGCCAGTCTGTGGGAGCACATCCTAAATCTTTTCAGGCAAAAAATCAGGCAAGCTGGTTTGAATAGTTGCAATAGTCAGCCTGAGCTCATCTAAAGTGAAAGGAGGAGTGTTCACTGGAACTATTCCAGAGGCAGTTGAATGTGCCAACATCCAGCAGAGGGGCTCGGGGTGGTAACAGATTTTACCGGCACAGCCAGATTCAGAAGATGACATAAGTTCACAGCCAAAAAAAAAATCACCTCTAGATCCAAAATACCTCATACCCTTACAAAAAGCAGTATTGAAGCCTTTTTTAGAGTAGCACTCAGATGACATTAATGTACTTTCTGTTGAATTTTTCTGTCTGTAAGTTGCGCTAGTCTTCGAGTTCTTCTACCAACTTGAGTCATGTCTATCAGTAGTGGGTCTGAGGGCGTAGAAGCATGTGAAAAGGAGTAAGAATACAAAAACTGGGCTTTGAGTTGTGGAGTTGAGCTTGCCATCAGCCTGACAGTGTCAGGAGTAAGGGTATGCTGAGCAGGATCCCGCAGGAAACAAGCCCAATGTAGTTGTGGAAAGTTATTGCCTTTTTCTCTTAATGCTAGAAACCCAGTCAGGGTGGGTGGCTTTTGTCTGAATGAAGTATACACCAAAGAGGCATTGTGAGAATGGATTTTGGCCTTCTGGAGATAGCCCTAAATGTGGCTCTCAATATGGTCGTTCTTTTCTCCTCTTCTTTTTTCTGTCCTTCTGTCAGTCTTGTTAATTATTAACCTAGTGTGTTTGAGAGCCACATTCTTCTGAGCAGCTCCTCCCATGTTTCCAACCTGGGCAACTTGTCTTGTATTATTAGTCTGTGGACTAAAATTGCTCCTTCATAAAATGTCACACTCTGGAAAGAAACCCAGGTGGCAGAGTGTACAGAAGGTGTGTCATCCAGGCCTTGTGGCATGTTACGAGAACTGCCTTGCTCTTATCCATTATGCTGCTTTCTTAAATGACCTCTGCAGCTTTCAGTAAAACAGCCTCAGGTTGTGGACTTTGTGGTCGTTTCAGCACATGCAATTAATCAGGAGGGAAAAATAAATCTAGAATCAGAAAGTACATTTTACTTGAATCGAGTTGCAATTTCCGTGCATAATGTAACACTTTGGGGAGTGAATGTTCTCTCTTGCTTGAAATAATTTAGAGGTGGTTTTGAAATAGACCACTTTTGTGTAAACACATCTTGAGATTAAAGATCTCATATTTAGTTTTCTCCAGCATCTCATCTCTGTC